GTTGGAATTGGCTTGTTCGAGGTAAGTAACTCTTCTAATCTTAGTGCTGAGGGTATGAAACCCCGAAATACGTGTTATGTGATTGGTATTGAGGTGAGCACATGCTAGGTGACGGGCGTTTGGGCGTGCACCCGATTTTTTTGATATCTGTGTTATCACCATGTGATAAAGTAGTTAAGCTGTCAATCATGCTAAACATCATGTTTAGACTTTATGTTGATATTGTTAGGACGCATAGTGGTCGTTTCTGGCTGTCATCTCACTGATTTCATTGATATATTGTACTCAGTCATATTCATGCATTCATATCATATCTCAATCTCAGTTGTTATTTATTGATACATTATACCATTATTGTCGGGCTAGTTTCATTGCATTGTGAGCCCGTGAGTGAGACTGGAAAGATTGATGATTGAGTGAGGCCGAGGGCCTAAGTGAGAGTGACATTTTGGGATTGGGCTGCATGCCGTAGCATATGATAGTGATTATATTTTATATAAATCGGGTTGCACGCCGCAACAAGCCTTCGGGCTATATATATATATTATTGGATCGGGTTGCATGCCGTAACAATATTGGATCGGGTTGCATGCAGCAACAATATTGGATCGGGCTGCACGCCGTAGCAATATAGCGCTTGGGCTGAAGGAGCCCCTCCGGAGTCTGCACACCCCCAGTGAGTGCAGTCGACTATATATATATGTAGATCGGGCTTCACGCCACAGCGTGTATTATACAACACTGAGTGGTTGAGTGTGCTGAGCCTTGAGCATAGTGAGAGAGAATGCGAGATAGTGAGATTGAGTACTCTGAGAGTGTGAGTACATGTGTTCATCTCTGAGATGCATTTCATTGATATGCACACATGACATACAGGCATAGAGATGTATTTTCCTCATGTTGTACGGTATCACATCATTCATGATTTCTTACACATGTTGACAGATGGGTATAGTGATGCATTTGTTTTACACCGGTTATCTGGAAAGAAAATGAAACATCTTATTTATTATGGAAAGTATTTTGGGAAAATTATTGTTTTCAAACTTATTCATATTTTTGGTAACTCTAGTAAACGATTTGGGTTTTCATTGGATTACTCGAAAGGCGGAAATATTTTCAGAAATCATGTTTTTGTTGAACATTTGATTGTTGAGTTACTTCTGGTATTACTTGTTTTATATTGTTATGAACTATTGTTGGTTATTGAAGTTGGGACCCGACCTTGGTACAAGCTTGTCACTACTTTCAACCTAAGGTTAGGTTTGTTATTTATTGAGTACATGGGATAGGTTGTACTCATACTACACTTCTGCACCTTGCGTGCAGATATTGGCTGATGATGTTATTATGTTCGATGGGAGCTGGATTGAAGATGTACCTGCGGCCGATTTTAGCTGCTACTTGTTCGTGGTAGCTTTAGATATATAAAACATTGTTTATGTACTATTCAAACAGACTATGTATTTATTTTATTTTCGCTTTGTAAACTCTATTCTTAGAAGCTCATGATTTGTACTATCAAATATTGGGGAATGTATAAGATTAAGATAATTCTTTACTTAAATTGCTTTATTAATTGTTATTAAAATTGGTTAGTGGTTAAGTGGCTTACCTAGCGGGTGGGTTAGGTACCATCACGACTAGTCGGATTTTGGATCGTGACAAGGTAGTATCAGAGCTTTAGGTTCATAGGTACTACAAGTCATGAGCAAGTGTCTAGTAGAGTCTTGCGGATCGGTATGATGAAGTCCATACCTATCTTAGAGAGGCTACAGGATATTTAGGATATACTTCCCATCTTTCTTTCCTTATCGTGCGGCATTGATTCAGCTTGAAGCGTAACCCTTTGAATTTCTTCCACGCATTCGTATGCGCATGTGAGCGCTCGGTATCGGCTATGCGCTGGTGGCTTGTGATTCCATGGTTGAGGTGCGAGATGTGATTTTGGCGGGCAGATGATGGGCCAGTCTGGAGGACTTGAGGTCGGGTAGTGACGGTAGCTTGAGCACGGAGATTTTGATTGTGTGAGCACGTGCTTTTGGGACTTATAAGTCTGTTGGTGTCCCTATTAGTGGAATTTGTGATTGGATGACTATGTGGTGAGTATGATATAACTGCGAGATATGTTCAGATTGTTCGAGTGTGACGAGAAGAGTTTACTTGAGATGTAGCAAGGACTATGGGGTGTCTGATTTCTGTCTTGATTTGGCGTATGGTCTCGAGTTATGGGTATGTTGAGGGATCTCTCATGTTATTTAGTTGTGGAGTGAAGTAGATTCTCATGTCTTGTTGATGAGTTCAGAATCAAGAAGATTAAGTGATTGCGTAGTAATCGTGACTGTGGAAGGGTATAAAGAGATGTCGGTTTGAGGCAGAGCAGGCGGGTTATCTCCTGCGAGGTGTCCTCAGGTTGTGTGGTCTTATGTTTTATTACTAAATTCGGTTAACCTTGAAATTGTACATCAACAAAAAATTATTGTCAAACAACTAAAAAAATAACTATCATGTGTTACTAAGTAAATTCTGCCATAAGAATATTTAATAGATAATATGTTTGTCAATTTTTTTAATTTATACTAAACATATATTTACTTGTCAAAAATTTAATAAAATAAGAGTGAAATAATATTTAATTAACAAAAAACTCGAAAAATCCAAAAAAATCCGCCAAAATCGAACCAATCCAAACCGATATAGTCGGTTTGATTTGGTTTTGGTAAAAAACGAACAAACCATATGCATGTACCCCTACTAGTACCTAAGTCTTTGTTTTATACAAACGGAGTTTCCGCATAATTTACACACTTTAGTTAATCACCAAACCAACTTAACATATACCTACCAACAACAATAAAGTGTAGGACCCTGATCTCTAAAACGAAAGAAAAGTAAAAGACGGATGGGATTTTTTTCTCTAATAACATACGTCGAATAACAAAAGTTACGATGACGTGATAAATGCTCCCAGTCCTTAATCAAATATTTCGAATTTTAAATTATAATAACTTAATTACTCCCTCCGTTCTAATTCATGTGAACCTGTTTGACTGATCACGGAGTTTAAGAAAAAATGAAGACTTTTGAAATTTGTGGTCCTAAACAATTCAAAAAGGGGCCAGAGTATTTGTGTGGTTATAAAAGCTTCTCAATAAGGGTATAATTGTAAATTTAAGCAAAATTGTTTCCAAATTTAGAAAGGGGTCATTCTTTTTGGAACGAACCAAAAAAGAAATAGGTTCACATAAACTGAAACGGAGTTAGTATTTTTTTTTTATAGAAGCGCTTTATCCCTAAATTAAAACTTTCCTATACTGGATTAGTCGAACCAAACACTGTGTTAAAAACAAAAAAAAGCAAAAGATGAATTACTTCATGATGATAATGGGGGATCAAATTGCATCTGAACCCGACCAACTTTCCCATTTTTCTTCTTAATGTTTTGTGTAATAGTATTTGAGTATATTTCTTTTTCTTAATTTACTTTATCCCCACTTTCTTAGGAATCAAAGTAGTTCATCACTTATTCTAGGGTAACTCAAATGTCTCCTTTGTTTTTTTAATTATTCGTTGTTCGGAATTCACTAATTCAATTAATCAAAATTCACACAATAAAAAATTGATCGCAGGTCCGATTAAAGATATCAAAATTTATAGCCGAACTGTTAACGAAAGGCAAGTGGTGGGGTGCTTGATTTATTATTGGAATAACGTTATTGTACCATTTTCCTATTTAAATATGTTGACTCTGTGGAGTCGTCCTCTTTAGTCTTTTTAAAGAATCATAGGACATTGGAGATTATATATTGGAATTTAGAAGAAAAGTGTGATCAAATGCGCAGAATGGAACTATACAATAAAAGGAGCGTAAAGTTCACTTGCCGACCTAATTGGTCCCTCCAATCACGTGGAGTATTATAAAAGTCACAGCGCATATATGGTGCAATAATATTTTTGAACAACATGAGAGAGAAAATGTACCTAAAATAATTGTTAGACGCTTATGCACTCATAATTGGAGAACAAGTTTTCAATGCAAACTTCTTTTTAAGAAAAATAATTCAAATTGATTGTTCTACTAGTTTTAAATTGATTTTAGACAAATAAAACTACTAGTTTCTTAATTTTTTCACAACAAATAAATTACAAGAAATCATTTTAACCATCAAATTTTATTAGTAAAAACACGCTTGAAGGTATCTATCCCAGTAGAAAGGGTTGAACGATATTTTGAGTGATATTATGTAAATCAATCTTCTGTAAGCCTAAAAAAATGAAATACACCATATTGAAAAAAAACAGAGATATAGTAGTGTGGCTTTATGTTTCCTAATAGTTTTTTGAAGAATGAGCTAAGGTTGTATATAATTTTAAATTATCGAAACATAAAGCCACACTGATAATTTGTATTAATATAGCATTTCTAACAACCAAAAACCAAAAATTCCGAACTTAGGGCCCGTTTGACCATAAAGTAAATTCACTTTTTTTAGAAAAATTATTACTTTTCGAATTCAGTGTTTGGCCATGAAATTTTTAATTTCGATTTTTTCGAAAATTTGAAAACTTCAGAAAGGTATTTTTCAAAATTTTCACTTCAAATCACTCACAAAAATTCAAAAGCATTCCAGAATTATATTCATTTCCAAACACAACTCTAATTTTAAAATAATATTTTTTGTTTGAATTTTTTTCCCATTTATTTCCGGAATTTTATATTTCTTATGTCCAAAGTCCCAACCCCCCACAAAGTCTCCTCAAAATCGTATTGAATGACTTATGAACACTGATAATTTGTAACTTGTAAGATCTTTATTTTATTATTATATGAAAAAATACCTCCTAAGGGAAAGACATATCTTTGGCATGTACAAAGAAAGCGCGTGGGGTGACAATTACACATTATGGAAAAGACCAAGATGATAATGCCATTAACATGATGTCAGATTCGCTATGTCAGCAACAGTATGAGTCGAGGGACGGAGGCATTATATTCTAAACCACCAGCAATAAGCCAGGGGGAAAAAAATACATATGAAAAGCATAGAAATACCATGTACTATTGATAAAAAGGAGAGAACAAATAGAAAAGTAATAGAATTATTGACCATTAATCAGAATAGCTAGATGCTACTTACTATGGACGGGGAGAAGAAGAGGAAGAGAACAGAGAACGACGAGGTTAACGGCGGAGATCGGAGCAAGCATGAGATAGAAAACGCTGTGAAGGAGAAGGAGGAGACGGTGGTGTTGCCGCCGCCATCAGAGGCGGAGGTTGACGAGTTCTTCGCGATCTTGCGGAGGATGCACGTGGCAGTGAAATATCTCCAGAAGAATTCTCAAATTCTGCCAATAGTTAACGATCACGGCAGCAAATTAACCGCATCGCCGGCCGGTGTGAACAGTATTGTTGTAGCTGGCCAGAGAAGAACACAAGGAATCGTGCGAAAAGGTGGTTTGGACCTCAATGCTTTACCAGAAGGCGGAGACTAACGCCGTTTAAGCTTGAAGTTACAGGATTGAACACGTAACATGTGCATTTTAGCCGACGTTAAAAGTCGCGGTTTCTGCTGTACAGGTTAAGCTTTTACAGTCGAACTATATTATTCCCTTTTCTAGTCGATTCGAAGAACTACACCTACTTCTCAGTTTTGGTCCTTTTTTTTTTTGGGTACTAAATAAGTTTTTGCACTTGGTAACATATATTTCTCTGGTAATTCTAAATAACTGGACTATTGTATAAACTAATGGATTGGTTTGCTCTTTGTGACCTACTTTTCCTTTTCCTTAATTATATATTGTGTACCAAAATTATTATTTCATTTTATCTTTTATTATCGTTAAATAAATGCATGCATTTTTAATTTAATCTTNATATATATATATATATTATGATGAAGTTGAACACAATGTGATAGTGAAGTTAAATACAACGGCAAAGGTCCAAATATATCTCTGTACTTTCGAAAATGGTCTAAGAATACCCCTCATTATACTATTGAGTCATCTATACCCCTGCAGTCATTCTTTGGGTTCAAATATACCCTCATTTAAATGGAGAGACACGTGTCATCGTCTTGTTGGCCAATTCTAAATATCTCATAATTGATTAAAATGACTCATTATTTGGTACCCGAAAAGCAATTTTCTAAAGCAATTTTGTTTTTTGTAAAAACTGCAAAAAAAACTGATTTTTTTTAAATAAAAACTGAAAAAAAATAAAAATACTTTTTTTCCAGTTTTTACAAAAAAACTGCTTTAAAAAAAATTGAAAAATATTTTCAAAAACAATATTTTTCTAAAAACTGAAAAACAAATGAAAAGTAATTTTCTAAAGCAATTAAAAACTAGAAAAAACTAAATTCTTTTTAACTATAAACTGAAAAAAAAGAAAGTATTTGTTTTTTCAGTTTTTACAAAAATATTGCTTTAGAAAATTGCTTTTTAGTTTTTGTTTTAGTTTTTACAAAAATAATTGCTTTAGAAATTATTTTTCAGTCTTTTTAAAGCAATATTTTTCTAAAAACTGAAAATAAATATTTTTGATTTTTTCAGTTTTTAGTAAAAAAAAACATTCAGTTTTTTCAGTTTTTAATTGCTTTAAAAAATTGCTTTTCAGTTTTTACAAAAATATTGTTTTAGAAAATATTTTTCAGTTTTTTTAAAGCGGATTTTTTGTAAAAACTGAAAAAAAAAATATTTTCGCTTTTTTCAGTTTTTAGTAAAAAAAAAAAAAAAAATTAGTTTTTCTAGTTTTTACAAAAAATAATTGCTTTAGAAAATTGCTTTTCGGGTACCAAATAATGTGTCTTTTTACTTAATTATGAGATATTTAGAATTGGTCAACAGGACGATAACACGTGTCCCTCTGTTTAAATTAGGGGTATATTTGAACCCAAAGTATGACTGCAGGGGTATAGATAACCCAATAGTATAACGAGGAGTATTCTTAGATTATTTTCGAAAGTACAAGAGTATATTTGGACCTTTGCCGTAAATACAATAGGATACTTTAATTTATAGATAATTCATGATCTAATAATTTATTAATGTGAAAATATACTTTTGCAACATAAAAGAATAAAGTTAATGGTATATATATTACTCTACGTATATATTGATTAAATTATATCTTTCTGGCACATTTTTAACGTAAAGTAGCTTTACGTTAATATATATCTCACATAAGAGGGAAGGGTAAATTGAAATCTTAGGGAGTGCATGTTGTATAATTTTCTCAATCTTCTCTTATTGTCGTATCCCAGCAAAATCTTATTTGAAAATTACGAACTAAATTCTTTATTTTTATGCGCGCGGAAACAGAATGCATAGAACACCGGATGCTGAAGTTCATTTTAACTTATGACTTTTTTCTTCCACCATTTTAATAATCGACTTAACCAAAACCAAATAATGATAGCAGAGTGTGCCCTTGCCCATGTGATTGCATATTAATTAATTTAAGAAGTTTGATTTTTTTTTTTCCTCGACGTGTTTCGCCGTATGCAGATTATGATTATCGATGTAGTACACTTAATTACTTGGCGAAAAATATTCGGAATAGGAATAGAAAAGAATATATTTTTGGACAAAGTAAAGATAACTAGACTACCTCAAATTATTAGTCTTCGTGGTAGAAGTTCTTTCGTCCAAGTTTCATTAGTCGTTAAGTCAATTGCATTTTATTAACTTAAACAGGTTTACTAATTCTACTAATCGATATAGATAAATGAAAATGCATTACTTTTGTGTCTATATATGTTTTTAGGTGGTCTTTGTCTTAAACACTCAGTTGATGTTAATCGGTAGCACGAGAATAAGAACAGAAGAGTGGAATGTAGAAGGAAATTTGATTCTTTTTCGTTTTTAAGTCTTACCAATCAACATTAGCAGGATGACAACCAATTAGCCAAGGCTTAAGGGTGTACTGAATTAATAAACTAGTCTTCCCCTACTTTTCCACCTTATTTTCTCAAATAAACCGCATAAAGAAGTATTACTTGCCTTGCATATTTGACCTCATTAAGTTAAATTATTAGATTCACCTTTGAACGTTGGATTTTGGAACCATAAATTGAGTAGTTTAGATCTAATACCAATATACTCAGTTTTATATTTCCTTAAAACCCAATTGTTCCGAACAAAGGTAGATCTATTTCATTTTTATATTTTATTTTTGTTAAAACTTGTGTCTTTTTCTTCTTACCCAGTAATAAAATTAGTATTTAGATCTTAGACCATCTAATTTTGACACTGAGTGCTAGTTATAAGACTCAGCCAAAATAAATCAGGGTATTTCAGATAACATTACGCTAAGAAAATGCAAACTATATATCTAAGACGGAGTCTAACCTCTGAACCGCAACCAAATCCAAATGGAAAATTGAAGAGAGAGAAAAAGAAAGTTTAAGGTGATTGATAACATTGCATGGCATGGGGGTCAGCACGTAGTTTGATACTTTGACTAATTAACCTCACGTAACTATACTGAAAATTCTCCAAAGTTTACTTTTATTCTAACTTTCTAAGAATTTTCTTTGTCCGGAAATAAGGAAGAAGAGTAACTCTATTATAGTAATAGTCATGACAAAACCATAGAACACACAACAGGGAGGCATTATATTCTAAACCACCAGCAATAAGCCAGGGAGAAAAAAATACATCTGAAAAGCATAGAAATACCATGTACTATTGATAAAGAGGAGAGAATAAAGAGAGAAGTAGTAACAGAATTATTAACCATTAATCAGCCTAGCTAGATGCTACTTACCATGGACGGGGAGAAGAAGAGGAAGAGAACAGAAAACAACGACGTTAACGGCGGAGATCGGACCAAGCATGAGATAGAAAACGCTGTGAAGGAGGAGGAGACGGTGGTGTTGCCGACGAGTTCTTCGCGATCTTGCGGAGGATGCACGTGGCAGTGAAATATCTCCAGAAGAATTCTCAAATTCTGCCAATAGTTAAGGCTGCAAATTATGACAAACCAGTGAAAATAGATCAGAAAGGCAAGCTCGTTAAAGGAGGTTAGGGCTTTCTAGAGAGTTCATCAGAGAGAACAAACGAAGAGAGAGAATGCAAAAATAACAGGCCAAACATTAACAGTTGTGGCCTCTTCTATTTATATCTTGTTTATACAATGTAAATTGGCTAACCACTGAAATGAATAACAACTATGCTATATTAAGTTATTAACAAAGAATGGCTAACTAATACAAAAGGGCTAAGTATAACATAAATAATCGGGCCAACTTAAGCCAAACTTAAGTATGCTGCTTTGGGCATGAAGTGGTGCAAGCTGGTGGCCCAACCCCCTTTTCAAGTTGGAGGGGGAAACAACCTTCAACTTGCCAAGAAAAGTGTGATGGAGAACCCAGGTAGTGGCTTAGTGAATTCATCTGCCAGCTGGTCGGAGGTAGGAACATGCGACAACTGGATGAATCCTTCAGTCAATTTACTCCGGATGAAGTGACAGTCTACTTCAATATGTTTACTGTGCTCATGGAATACAGGATTTTTAGCAATGTGAATAGCTACCATATTGTCACAGAAGATAGAGATAGGAAAGGAAACCTCAATAGTAAGATCATGTAATAATCTGGACAGCCAAACCAATTCAGCAACGGCCTTACTAATAACTCTAATACTCAGCTTCAGTGAAAAAAAGAGAAATCACAGGCTATTTCTTCGACTTCCAGCCAACAAGGCTATCACCCAAGCAAATGCAAAAACCAGAAACAGATTTGCGAGTGTTAGGGCAAACTGCCCAATCACTGTCAGAGTAAGCCTTGATAGAAAAATTAGCAGAGTTAGAGAAAAAAAGACCAAAGTCAGGAGTACCCTTGAGATACCTAAGCAAATGAAGAGCAGCAATCATGTGAGGAAGATGGGGAGCCTGCATAAACTGGCTCAGATGTTGAACACTAAAGCAAATATCAGGTCGGGTGTGAGTCAAGAACAATAACTTCCCCACAAGGCTTCTTTATTTCTCAGGATTAGGTAAGAGATCCCCAACATCAGCTTTAAGCTTTTGATCCAATCCCAATGGGCTAACAACAAAATGAATGTCAAATCAATCATAGTATTTGAGTAAATCAGAAGTAAACTTCTTCTGATTTAATACAACACCATCAGGTAATACAGTAACCTCAATTTCCAAAAAGTAGTGAAGAAAACCCAAGTCTTTGATCTTAAATTCAGAGTCTAAAAATTGTTTTAAAGCTGAAATCTCATGTAAATCATCACTAGTGAGGATGGTATCATCAACATAAATAGTTAGGATGATTAGATGACCAGGAGACCCTTTGATAAAGAGAGAGTAATCATTGAGTGAATGATGAAAACCTTTATAATAAAGGACTTGAGATAATTTGGCATACCATTGCCTCGAAGCTTGTCTAAGCCCGTAAAGAGATTTTTTCAACTTCCAAGCCAAAGGGGCAGAAGAAGAAGGAGATGAAACAGAAAGGCCAGGAGGTAATTTCATATAGACCTCGTCATCCAACTCACCATGAAGAAATGCATTGTTAACATAAAGTTGAAAAAAAGACCAATTCTTCTTAATAGCAAGATCAATCAAACACTTGACAATAGACATCTTCACTACAGGAGAAAATGTCTCATTGAAATCCACCCCCTCAACTTGTGTGTCCCCTCTAATGACAAGCCTAGCCTTATATCTTTCTACTTCACCATTAGCTTTGTATTTAATTTTATAGACCATTTCCACCCAATAGGCTTCTTACCT